GGCAATACATAATGATCAGTCCCACTCTGTTCTCCTTCCTCATAGCTCCTCATCTTTGTTTAGTCACACAGAAACTCATCCACTTCTCCCACTGCTGCCTAGTTCCCTTACGAGCCTCTGATGAATAATCTTATGAAACGTACCTGCAGACCAAGCTCCTGAGTTTTCAATTTACAAGTCCCCAGCTGTGTCTTCATGGTAGAGTACGGCCCAGCTCCTACTTCTCTTATCCGTCGCCTCTCATAAGCACTGTAACCAGTGGTCTTAATAATTTAGTCATGTATCACCGCACCAATTTCACTAGTGATAATTATGTCAAGTATTTCCTCACCAAGTGTTTTCTCCCAAATATTTTCCAACACATCCATTTTTTTACCCCAATTCCTGACACCAGAATAAACCAGACAGGGAATTGGCTCTCTTCCCCTTCTCGGTCCCATGCTTTCCAAGTATTTAAAACAGGCAGAGGGTGAGCTGAACAACATTTGCCTCTCTCCCTGGCAGTTAGCCGATGGCTCTCGCTGCCTGCTTGCAGAGCCTTCTGCAGGTACATGGATCATTTCTGGGATGCAGCAGGCATCAAAGCAGAAGAGAAGCCAGGCACAAGGAGGAACTATCCTGCTGAGGTGCTTTCCTGGAGATCTCCGAGCCTAATTTTATACATATGCTTGTAAGAGATCCCGTTAGTGGAATTATACATTGCAGTCACACACCATCCTGCTCTGCACTCTTCCCTCCACCGCCCGTGTGAAGACACAGAGAAGACAGAGAGCCACGTTAGCACGAGCAGGGGTCCCATCCTCGCCGGCACTCCCTCTCCAGGCAGACATCCCACCATGGCTCTGCTCAGCTGCACCCCGCCAGCTTCAGAGAAGCAGAGCCGCATTCCTCTCCCTGCCCACCCAAAGCGGTACCAGGATGAACGAGTTAGTGCTTCACCAGTGCCTGAAGACGCAGCATGCTGCACGAGGGCTAACCTTGCGCACGGCAGAGCCTGGGGGCCCTTTGCACCCTGTGCTCATCTCCCACCCTTTGTCGGGGCTTCTCCCTTCATGCTGGGTTGGTCGGTGGGAGAGAAACGTCAAGAGCTCCCCCACACGCTGCCAGGCAGGGAGGAGGAGACCACATTCAGAGATGATGCTATCCCCCAGGAAGACTGCCAGATGTTCTTACTGGCCAGGAAACTTTGCTGCTTCCAATTTGTCAAATATTATCTTCAATCGAGTTCTGCTAAATACCCTCACTCCACGCAAGACACGGTACCTCCAGCCAGGTTTCAGAGACTCCCCTGAGCTAACCGACTCCACTCTTCTGTCCAAGTTGGCAGAGATAAACCACAAAGCTGCTTCTCCAGCCTGTCCCATTTTCCCTCTGCTCCTTCTCTTCTCCCACAGGGTCATCCTGCTGCAGCATGGTCAGCAAAATCAAAGGAGTCAAGCACCAAACAGCAGTTTTCAAAGCTCTGCCCAAGCTGCTGGATGCTGACATCTGTCCCTTAGCCCACCAGCTGCTGAGGACACCCAGTTGCTAAAGTAATTCTCCCTGAAAACCACCTTACTGTGCCAAGGACAGGGACCAAGAATTCCCTGGGGAGCCCACAGCTTCCCCTGGCTGCCCCTCTGCCAGCCCATCTCCTCCTCCTCTCACCGCGGCATCAGCAGTCTGTCCTGTGATCTTGCCTGCCAGGCAGTCCTGCCCAGACGTTGTTCCTTTGTGTATCTGTAAGGAGGCTAATAAAAAGCTTGCCGGGTCCTCTGAAGTTCCACGACTAAAATGACAAGTCATCAGAGGGATCGAAGCCAGTCGGGAAGTGAGAGGCCACCTCTGGATAGGCATACTGAAAAGGAAAGTAAAAAGGCCCAAGTCCTTGTCCTCCCCTCCCCTCCAAGCACTCCTCTGCAAGTCCCAGGATCATTTCATGCTGGCATCATCCTCATCCTGGCAGCTCCTCCTAAGCCTGAACCCTGCTCGTCCTCTCCCTGTGTAACTTTCCCATCACTTCTCCCTCGCAAGACCATTGCGATGCATCAAGCCCTCCTCCAGCTCCTTGGGCCTGGCCACACTGCATTAAAACAGGATTTATGAGCCTCAAGCACAGACAAGAGTTATGCAGTCTGCACTTCTGCATGCTGCATACCGAGTCCCCAGCTGGTTTAAATCAGATCAACTTCACTGATGTAAGACATTTAAGGCAAGAGAGTTCCATGATTTACACCAGCTAAGAAGCTGTTATATTATAGTTTGGCAGCTGCAGGTTTTAGAGCTGAAGTTTTTTGGGCAAGGATCCCAAGCAGCAGTGAAAAACAGAGCAGTTGAGTGGCAAAACCCATTTATTCTCAGTACAGTATGCACGCAGCCAGCACATGTTCCACAAAAGTCTTCTTTTAAAAAAAAAGTAACTCTGGTGTTCAGTTGTGAGTGTCATCAGTCTGCAAAGTCAGTGCCCTGTCAAAATCTCAAGGCTCCAAACAAATCACTAAGTCATGACACTATGAAAATGCCTCCCTTCAAAAAATGATAAATTTGGGCAACTAAAGCCAGGCAACTTTAATGCAAAGGTCACTAGCTTTTGAAAAAAACATATAGACCGATTAATACAAATGCAAACAAACACACAAGGGAGTTTAATATTCAGATCATGGCCTTCATTTCTGCTGGAAGATGCTTAAGCTTCCAATTAAATCTGGCTTCCACAAAAAACTGGTGCTAACACTGTGGAGCCAGATGTGCCTGCAGAGGTGCACAAAAAGATGCAGCGTTCAGGGCAGGTGAAATGGCACAGAAATGCACCAGGAAAAATGCTAATACTGCCCGAAGAGGAATGTTTAGTCCTTTCTCCTCCACCTTAGCAAAGTGGCTTCTTCACACCAGTTGAGGCTTGGTTTGTCAGAGCCAGGAGAGTGGCAGAGCCCAGTGCCATTCCCACGCCACCCGCAAGCCTGCAAGCGGGCAGCAGAGCCGCAGCCTTCCCTGCTGCCTCCCGTCCGGTGCCGGCTGCGCGTCAGGAAGCAGGGAAGGGGCCGGGAAGCCCCGCCAGCCCCATAAATCACCAGGCACCCAGCGCAGTAAATCTGACCTCCCTTGCAAGGGAAATATAAATCAGCTTTACTAGCAGCTTCTGAAACAAAGACTAAGCTCGTGAAACTGTAAAAATGCCTCTTTAAACATCCTGTGCCCTGAACAAACCACTGAAAGCCCCATCAGGCTAGGGGAGAGCAAACAAGCTTTCCAAGAGATGAGACAACAGTGGGTTGATGAACGGAGAAAAGGCATTTCAGACCAAGCAGCTTCTTGCTGGCAGGCAGCATGGATATCTTCAGCACGTGGTAAAGACAGGGTAGTGAATCGCAAGGAGTGAATTAGCCAGCATTAATACTGTCATTTGTATTCAGTGTACTTCAAAGCACTCGCAATGCAGACATCACCAGACAAAAAAAAAAAATTACCCAAGTCTAATGAAGAGCAAAGTACAGCACATTCACCGGAGACCACACAGTAATGATCGGTGGGGGTTGGATGGGATCCTCGGGGCTGCCTTGCCCCACAGCCCCTGGGGGGGATGAAGCAGGCCACCTCCCTGCCTGCTCTTCCCTAATGCCTGCCTGCACAAATTAAACACCACTGCTCCAGTGCTTAACTAGCTAGCATGGGATGGCTGTGCCCGTCCAGAGGAAGCCTCATGAACCAGTGCAGAGGCAGGAGCTACTGGGCAGAGCCAAACTGGGACAGGACTCAGCAGGGGCACAGGGGAGTTGCACCCACCCATGTCCCAGCCAGAGCAAGACTGCACCTGAGACCCATGGCAGGAAGTCTGCAGGGAATACTATGGCTGGGCAGAGGCTCCAGATGCCAAGGAAGCTGCCGGTGCCGGTGGTGCAAGCCATGGGAACGGCTATTTCAGCAACACGCACATGGGGGAATGCGCCATCACCGCGTGCCATCCACAAGCAGCTTTGAGAGGCTGGGGGGGTCTCCTCCCAGGGCAGGTGTATGGCCAGGCAAGGACCCCCGGCGCCC